AGGACAAGCACAGAGATGAGTCCACTGTCAGAGGCCATAAGAAGATCATTTGTAACCTTCACTAAAGCTGTTTCTGTGCTGTGAGGAGCTCTGAAACCTGACTGAAACTCTTCAAATAAACCATTCCTCAGCTAAAGTTGTGGTCAGATGTTTACATTCACTCATCATGAGCAGAAATGTAACAGTAATTGCTTTGAATTGTTCTTTTCCCATGGTAGAATAACTGAATGACTTTTGTCCCTGTGTGGTTTAGAGAAAAATAAATAAAATTCTATCTGTTGCACTGTTTTCTCAGTGGGTATCCAGCAGTTTGTTTGTTCTTTTGTGTGTGTGCACAAATGTACACAAAAGCCCTGCCACTCTTCATGCACTTTGTCACTGTGCACAGCTCAAATCAAATCTTTATGTTCACTTTTCCTCCAAACTATACCTTTGAGCTCAGTGGCCTCCAGCAGTTTTTTCCACTGAGAGCTGACTTCTTCCATGTGACCAGAAACCTCAGTTGAGGCATAATGCTTTCCATCCAGCAGCTCCTGGCCTGACTTCTGCAGGGCATCGATTCGGCTCTGGTTAGCAGACAGCTCCGCTTCAAAGGCCTGGTGTTTCTGCACCTTGCCCTGCAGGTTGGAGGGGTCCTGTTGACAGGAGAGCAGAGACACAGAATTTCAGCAATGGAGAAAACAGACACAAAAGAAAACATCACAATGCACAAATGAACATCAAAAAAATGGGAGACACACAAATATCGGGAGAAGACAATATCAATTTCTTTCACAAATTACCTTGTAAGCCTCATCAGTAGCAGTCTTCATCTTTTCATTGATCCAGCTCTTAAGCTCATCGGAGTCCCTGAAGAACTGCTGGAGGTGGAAGGAGTCCTCCAAGGCAGCACGACGAGACTGAGCACGGTCATGCAGGGCATTGCGGCGGCTGAGTAGCTATAAATGCAACAAGGAGAGAAAACACATTTTCAGAGAAAGCCTATTGTATTTGATTTTATGTCTGATGTGGAAAGCAGACAGCAGTGCTTACAGCATCTCTGCGTGTAGCCACATCCTCTTTGGCATAGTGGTTGTTCTGAATCAGTTTGGTAGCAAATTCATCCAAAGCCTGGAGATGTGCAGCACAAACAGATTAAAGGTTAATTTCAATTTACAATTCTCACACAGTGGCAATAATTCAAGAATAGAAGATGCAATATTCGTCATGTAACTGGGCAAATTTAATAAACTTACAGTGATCTTCTCTTCTTGAGCACTCAGCGACTTCACAAAACCACTGTTGCAGTGATATTTTACTTGCATTTAAA